CTAACCCCAATTCAGACACCATCTTGTCCTCAACTGAGCTCTCTCTGGAAGCTTGGCTGGGCTGGCTTTGCCACAGGCTCTGGCTTCCTTGGGATGAAGGGGGTGAGCCAGAGGTACAGAGAGAAGGCTGGTGCTCACCTTCTAGGGGGGGTATCCAGACACACTGCTCCTCTGTCCAGTCAGCAGCATTTGGCCTGGAGGCCACACGAGGCTTTACACTGATGCAGTACTGCTCCCCCCATAGCAATGGGGGCAGGTCAAATTCCAGGCTGTTGTGGACATGCACCAGCTGTGGAGGAGAATGGGCAGCCCCTCGTTAGGCCAAACCAGTCTACCTCCCTGCCAAGCTCAGGTCAGGCCACTTGTCCCAGCCCATGGCACCCTTAGGCTCCTGAGGGACTCCTGCTGGTGCTTCAGCAGTTGCCATTCCAACTTCCCCAGTCAGCTCCACCTGGGTGCTCACCTGGGTGCTGGCAATGGATAGAAGCTCACCTCTTGATTGTTGGACACTCTTCTGACTCGGACAAGATATTCCCCCCATGCCTCATAGCTGCCTTCATAAGTGAGGTTGGCCCAGCAGCTGGTGGGAAGCTTCACGGAGGCACGGAGCTGGTTGCCGCTCCTGGAGAGGGTCACCTTAGAGAGCCACAGAGTTGCTGGGAGGGGGGAAGGAGGTGAGCAGTAAACCTGGAGGAAGCTGCGCGGCTTGCCACCCCGAGGGGTCGCCCTGAACAGCTCCCCCTCCCAGGTTCGCCTCCTGGGACCGCCACCGCCACCCGGCATGGCTGCCTCGCCCTTGCAGGAAAAGCCAGCGGCTCTTGGGTCGTTTCTTCTCCCCGAAGGCGAGGGCCTTGAGCCTCTTGCGCTACCTTCGCTAGGCGTAAATCGGCGCGTCCGTATCCAGGGGGAGGAGCGGTTCCCGGCTACGGCGCGCACCCGGGCCAAGTAGTGAACCGCGGGCTGCTGCGTTTCGCAGGTGAGATCACAGAAGTCGAGCGCGATCCGGGTACAATTGGCGGCGGCCCTCCAGCTGTCGTTGCCGACCCTGCGGGTGGCGGGAAGTGAAGCTGAAGGCTGTTCTGACACGGAAGACGGCAAGGACCGGACCCGGCCGGCCTCTCTCTCCCGCCCTGCCCGGCCCTGCCCTTACCGCCGATACTGCACCTCGTACAGGATCCCGCCGCCTGGCTTAGCGCCCGGCTTCCAGCGAAGCAGGTGATGGAAGACGCGGGCCTGGAAGTGCAGGTCCGAGGGCGCGGCGAGGATCCGCTCTCCTCCTGAGGTCACAGGCAGCGCCGGGCGGTTAGCAGGTCCTGCGCCCGTCCCTCCCTCTCCCGCTCGCCTCCTGCGGGTCGGCCGCTCGGCAGTGGCCGCGATGGCTCTTCGCTCACCGTGGCCCGGAAGGCAGGGCAGCAGGAGCGGCAGCAGCACCAGCGCGGACACCAACATCTCGGCCATCCGAGGCGTTTGCCGGAGAGCGACTGAAAGTAGAGCGTTTGCCGGCGGGCGCTGGAGCAGCTGGCTCTGCTTTCACTTCCTCCGGGCATTCCCCGCTGGCCCCCTCTTGGGGAAAGCCCCGCCCGCGCCTCCTCTCTGCCGCTTACTCCAAGCACCCGCCGTTTCCGCCCAGAGAAGGAGCGCAATGATGAGCCCTGCGGTGGGGAAGGAGCAGCAGAAGGGGCCGAGAGGGCTACCGGAAGCCCTTCGCCGGCCTGTCCAGCCCGTGGCTGCCGGCTTGCCCACCCTGCCGCGACCCCCGCCTGACTGCTCACCTTCTGCTTCTGAACTGGGACCCTTCCTCAACTCTAGACGGCCCGCTGTCTGGAAGGAGCTGGAGAATCAGTTTGGTCTAGTGGTTAAGGCACCAGGCTAGAAACCGGGTGCCCGTAAGTTCTAGTCTCGCTTTAGCCATGAAAGCCGGCTGGGTGACCTCGGGCCAGTCCGTCTCCCTCAGCCCAATCCACCTGACATGGTTGCTGTTGTGGGGAAAAGAGGAGGAAGGAGGAGCATTAAAGACTTTCCCAGCGCCTATCCTGACTTTCAACGGCTCGGCCTTGGGTTGTCCTCACCAAAGATGAGCCCCCGCGTGCCCGACCCGTGCCTCCCAAAGCCGTTTGGGGGAGCTGTTGGGTCTCCACTCCGGGGCTCTTTCCACCACTTGGGCAATTTGCCTCCCAGCTACCCTCATTCGGGGCTTCTTTCTGGGGACAAAAGACCCGAGCAGGTACTGGAACGCGAGGTTGACTAAACTGCGTCCAGAGAAACCGTCTTTCCCATCCTCCGGAATAGACTCGTTGGAAGCAGAATTTACGAGTTCCACAACTCACACTCCGTCCTTCTCATTTTGTAAAACTAACCCTTTGGGTGGGGGGAGTGACATTGGGAAGGGCTTTAGATGCAGTTCGTTTCGTTTTCACCTCCCCAGGCAGGGTCAGACGCCTCTGACTGGCCGGCTTTCCCGGTGCGCAGAGGTGGGCTTGACAGCAGCCTCTCCTTTGGATAACCTGGCACCGCCTGGGCAAGGCCCACCTCGAAGCTGAAGCCAAGCTCCTTTCACCAAGGGGGAGCAAGACTACCATGAATCTGGTACTTGCCTCCTTCGCCCCCCCCAAAAGCGCCCCTCCCTCAGAGCCTCTGGCTCTTCCTGGGCTCACCAGTGGCCAACTGGTGCTCGGTGGCCATCTAAAGTTGGCTCTTGTAAACAAAAACCAGGTATCATATTGGGTGGACATGCCCTAGAGCTAAAGGATTTTGGTCAAAAATACACATATGGTTGGAAAAAATGACTAAAAAACATATAGATTTCAAGCCAGAACTGTTTCTGTTAGGCATAATAGGAGGAAACTATGAGAAAGATTGTATATATTTAATTTTACATGCATTAATTGCAGCAAGAATTGTATTTACCCAATATTGGAAAAATAAAAACTTACCAACGGAAGAACTAATTAAGAAAATTTTAGATTGAGCAGAAATGGACAGATTGACATTACAGATAAAGGGAAAGAAGACTCAGTGTACTTTAGAACATGGGACAATTTTTACCAATGGCTAGAAAAGTGAGTTAGAAAGGAACATGATATGTACTATGTAATATTGAATATATGCTAGTAAGAAGAAGACTACTGAGCGATTAACTAACATATTGATTATAATATAGAAATTAACTCTTACTTATTGTTTTTTTAAATACATGAACCCAGACAATATGCTGTCTGCTAAATATTAAGAATGTTATTTTAAAAAAAAATCGGACTTCTTCCTTTACCCCCCTGCGAGAAAAGGCTGTGTCCCTGGCAGGAGTCTGGCTCGGCCTGGCCACCTTCCAGGCTTCTCCATGGCCCAGAAGCCTCCACGTGTACAGGGCAATTGAAGAGGATTGGGGGGGGGGAGGAGGAAGGCATCTGAAGCCGCAGGGAGGGACTCATGTCCAGCCTCTTTCCAGCCTTTTCTGGGAGCCCTCAGCCCTCCCAACTGGCTACCTTATGTCAGACTAATCTCTGGTTAGCCCAACAACTTGACAATTGTGCAGAAGAAGTTTGCCACTGCCTCCTTTTGGGATGTTTTGTCACTTCCCAGCCTGACCTTTGGTCCAGGGATCCTCTGGTGGGCTCCCATCAGAGTATTAACCTGGGCCATCCTTGTTTAGTTTCTTCCAATTAATCTGATGAAAGAAATAGTGGTCACTGAAGCCCCCCCTTTGGTGCATTGGCTTATTCCCCTCCCTCACTACTCTTGTTGATGCCCATTAGGAAGTATACATTCCTTAGTTTAAATGTGCTGGATGCAAAAAAGAACTTCCTTAATCTTCCCTGAATTTCTAACCATTCAACCTCACTAAATTCTGGTATTATAAGAAATTAAAATCATAAGGTTAAAATCTCTCACAATTTTCTTGGGAGTGAGAATGATTTTATAAATATATATCATGTTTCCCCTTTAAGAAAGAAACAGAAACAGGAAATCCCCAAATGTTGTAATCGTTCTGCACTGAGGAATTTGTTCAACCCACTTCCCAATTTCACTCATGTTCCAGTTGAGCAGTTCCCCCCTGAGAAATAGTCACCATATCTGTACACGGATTTGTCTCCACACCCTCTGCCAGTAGCAGTTTTATTTTCAGTTCCTTATGGGCCTCGGGAGCACGTCTGCTTTTTCAGTTGGCGAGGGGTAGGAGTGGGAGATGGCTCCATTCTTCAGGCTGTTCAATGCAGATCTGTGCATGTGAGGCTGGTGTCAAGCTTTGGAATGAGAAGCACCTGTTTATACTAACTGGAGCCAGTAGGGGGAGAGCTGGTTACTTTTGGTAGCCAAATATCATTGGTGTCTGTTACTGCCCGACTCCTCCACATTAGAACTGTGGTTCCAACTTTCACAGGCAATCCAAGGGGCTGGATCTCCATATTTTTATGATTTCCCCCTCCTCACAGCTTCTGAGCCAATAGCAGGGGTGGGTCTTTCTGGTTCTTGGCAATTTGCTGATGTGGGGGAGAAGAAATGAGTGTTTTCCATCAGCAAACTTGCCCACTTAAACTGACTCCACTCAGTACGATGATCCTGGGCTCATTCAGAGAGTGAAGTCCATTCTTTGAGTCATAGGGATAAGTTCTGTAATCCCCTGGATTCACTTCTTTGGGCTTTTGCTCTGAGTTACCTCCCTTCCCTCCCGCTGGCATTGCTATAGGGAAACTGCTGCTTCTGATGACAGCCTCCTCCACCCCCAGCTTTCTGGCAAGACGCATGAATGGCCCATGGGCAAAAGCACTCCAGCTGCAGAAGGGGCCCCTTCAGGGCCCCTCTTAAGGTCATTTGGCTTCCAGGCAAACCAAGACCCTTCCATTTGGCCTGGTTTCTTTCAGTGTGGTGGTATGTTTTGTCCTTGGAGACTATACTGTTTGCAATGTGCCTATTTAAATTTGCTTCATTTTTTCATAAGCTGCTTGGGGCATTTTGATGAAGGGTGAGGAAGTTATGAAAAATGAAAGAATTATTTTTTCCTTCTAGGTCTCTAACCACCTCAGTTGCTGTCCTCTGGACATATTCCAGTTGTCTTTCCTAAAATCTGGCTGTTCTATCCCAGCCTATTGCCGTCCTTGTTAGAGGCACAAGGACCAAACCCCTGCTGATACAATAGGCTGGAAACTTTAAAACAAAACAAAATCCCTTTTATTTGGGTGACAATCCTGTCAATAAGTCCAAAACACAAACAGCAAACCTCAAGTCCAAAGGAAGGAAATAGTCCACAGGAACACGTTGCAAACAAG